AGACATTTCTCCAGCAAAGGCGAAGGCAGAGGAATATAAGGTTGGCTGTTGATCCATACAGACAGCTCCAGCAGTTGAAATGGTTTGGCTGACTGGTCCCAGTTGGTTTTTAGTGCTGTCTCCACTGTGCTGCCAGCCTGGGTCTTCTGTAGAACAGGAAGAAGGAATCTGCTTAGACATTCACAGCCTTACAAGCCTACAGCGCCAAACTCTTCTTCCACAATCTGTTTGTTGTCCTTATAAGACTTAGAGTTTGTGTATTTCAGTTGTCCGCATTAGATAATTGACAATTGAAGATGAAGACAAATGTCACATGATATATTTATTTTATGGAATGTTCTTTGTAGTGGGCAGTTGTCTTGGATGTCAACAAACAATTATTTTCATTCTCAATTATTCGTTTTGTCTATGAAATGTCAGAAATTAGTTTGTCATCACAATTTTATAGAGCTCTAAGGGGTCCAAATGGCTTCTTTCGTTCAGCCAACAGTGAACAAACCCAACATTTTCAATATACAATTATATAAAACAGGAAAAAAATCATATACTCACATTTAAGAAGCTGTTACAAGCAATTTTTGGCATTAAAATGATAACGGACTCAGCAATACATTTACATACATTTTCAATTACTAATCAGTATCAGTTCTTAACTACTTTTGTATTAAGTGTACTCTGCTGTTTTGCATTTCCAAATAACATATTAACAAATCAACAAAATGTATCGTATTGTGCAAGAGTTATTGGCAGGAGTGGAAATGTTACTATCAAAAATAAATTATATTTATCAATTAACAAAATACAAAGTGAATGCACAGAAAAACATTAAATCCATGTTTGGTGTGACCACCCTTTATCTTTAAACAGCATAAATTCTTACAGAAAACACTTGAAGGAACTTGGTAGGTTGGCCCAAACATCTACCCACAGAACTACCCACAGTCCTCAGTTGCTTCTCTCTCTTCATGTAATCCCTGACAGACTTGATGATGTTGAGATCAGGGCTCTGTGGGGGCCATACCATCACTTCCAGGACTGTTCTTCCTGAAACTGTAGTTCTTAATGACTTTCGCTGTATGTTTGGGGTTGTTGTCATGTTGCAGAATAAATTTGGGGGCCAATCAGATGCCTCCCTGATGGTATTGAATGATGGATAAGAATCTGCTTGTACTTGTCAACATTGAGGAGACCATTGATACCAAATCACCAACTCCATTTGCAGAAATGCAGCAAAGAACCTCCACCGTGCTTTACTGTTGCCTGCAGACACTGATTTTTGTACTGCTGAATGAATTGTTGAATCATATTCCTGTGTTGTTAAGCAGACAAACTACCTTCTGCTGCAGCCTCAGCATCAGTCCAGAGAACCTGCTGCTATTTTTCTGCACCCAATTCATAGTTTCCATGTCGAGGTATGGATTTTTGGCTGTCTTCTATGAAGGCCACTTCTGATCAGACTTCTCTGGACAGTAGATGGTGTACCAGGGTCCCACTGTTTTCTGTCAGTTCTGAGCTGATGGACATCTTCTGATTGTGAAGGGAAGTAAACACGATGTGTCTTTCATCTGCTGCAGTCAACCACTGCATCTACGGTCCTCAGTGTTGCCCGTTTCTTTGTGCTTCTTCAAAAGAGCTTGGACAGCACATCTGGAAACCCCTGTCTGCCTTGAAATGTCTGCCTGGGAGAGACCTTACTGATGCGGTGTAACTACCATGGTCTTGTTGCTGTGCTCTGTCTTGCCATGGTGTCTGACTTCTGAGAGTAAACTGTCTTCAGCAACCACACCTTGTTAGCTGAGTTTAGCTGTTCCTCACCCAGCTGTATTCCTCCAACACAGCTCTTTCTGTTTCAGGTAATGATGGTGTTTCAACCTACATATGAATTGAATTGGATCATTAGCACCTGTTTGGTTTAACTGTTGAATCCAACGAAGGTTAAAGTCAAGGGCACTGGACTTGGTTGAAGATACTGTGGTTCCAGTATCTTCACCAAGTCCAGCTGCCCTTGACTTTAACCTTCGTTGGATAACTATGACCTGGATGACTGAGAATCTTCATAGACAACTGTTGAATCATATACCTGAAGATATGCCTACAAAATTCTTGACTTTCTGCAAGTGTACCTGGAAGAATTGATGCTGTTTTGAAGGCAAAGGGTGGTCACACTAAATATTGATTTGATTTAGGTTTTTCTTCTGTTCACTCACTTTGTATTTTTTGTATTCTTTCTTGACAACATTTTCCACACCTGCCTAAAACCTTTGGCCATTATTGCATTTAATCAAGTAAATTCTATATACTTTGAGTCTTTCTATGTATATGTAGCTCAAAGGCCACTTCAACATGTGGGCAGTAGGACCCAGGGATTGAACCATCGACTCTAGCATTAATGGCCCACCAACTCCCCATGCCCCCATGTCATATAAAGTCCCACGATAGTAACTTATCTTTATTGTTAGAGGTTTATATTAATTCAACTGTTACTTATTCTCTAAACTCTGAATAATTAAATAATTATTCTAATCAGTTACATCTTATGGTCTCGTAAAATGAAGATTCTGCTGTTTTGAGAAGCCAGAGCTCCTGTGAGTCAGTGTTACAATGCAACAAAGGAGATGTGACTAGAAAAACCAGGATGTTGTCTTCACCCTTCCATAGATTTAAACCTTAGCATAGATGGGTCTTAAAATGTAGATAGAAAACAATAAAAAAATTACGCTGTTAGGTCATACAAGAATGCTTAACCATTGCACTCAGTATCTTTGTGATGGAAGTAGGTGGCTGACTTTGACTTGTCTCTACCATTATATAAATATCGCTTTAAAGAACACATGTAAAATGACTACTTAACACAGTTACCTAGTGTAGTAAAACAAGTAATTCAGGCAAAACATTTTTATAGACGACTGTTCTGGCAAATTAGATTGTGCACAGTGGAGAATGACACAAAGATGAAAGCAAATTGGATTTGACATGCAATGAGGTTGGGAGCTAGACTCAAAGCCATACTGATTTGAGTATATGGCATGCTTCCCAGCCCACCAACTATTAGAGAATGCCGCTTGAGATCCTTTTAAACTCTATAACTTGAAGTGATTTTATTTTTGCTGTTGGTACAAATTAAAGCTTTTATTTGATGCAGTTTACTGTACAATTCAGTAGGATCCAACACAACAACCAAACAATGAATCAATTTTTTGCTGGCAAACAAGGTGCTGATTCTGTCTTGGACCTCAGAATATTAGAAAAACCTGTCAATATAATGTAATCCTGTTGTGTTGGATTGCATTACAATGCACAATTGTACCTAATAAAGTGGCCACTGAGTGTATATACGTTTCTAATATTGTGAACACCCAGGACAGATTATAAGAAACACCGCTTACTATAACCATCTAAGTTTCCCAAAGAAAGACATTTTTACAGGGCTGTTTTTTTTTAGATTACATCAGATGCACCTAATAAACTGGTAACAGTATTTGCACCAGATGTTTACAGAAGAAAAATACAATTTGCAAACAGAGAACAGGAAGTAAAAAAATCCAAATACTGTTCAATACATAACTGTGAAGAGCTGATAGTTTGTTTTCTATTTTGTAACATTAAACAATGATGATGACCAAACTGAAAAACGAGGCAAGTGTCTTGGGGGGAAATACCAGGCAGGGTTAGTAAAAAGCTCATAGCAGATTGATCTGTGCATACAGCTTAACTGTATTAAAGCTGATAATCCCTGTAAATATCTTCAGGCAAGGCAAAGTCAGCCTTTTAACATTGACTAAATGAAGTAAATAGAAGCAAATGAATTTTTAAAAATTACATTTCTGTTGAACCCCTGTTATATATAGAAGCTTGCTGTGTGAGTTGGCTGCTAATGAGGCTTACACATTTTGAACCAAGATATTTTGATGGTTTTGCCACCCTGCCGTTTGGGGGTAACAGTGAGGTTCGATTTAAATGTGGAGCGTCTGTTCCCCTTTCGAACCTCTAACACCACAACAGATGGGGAGAATATGGAGCTCGGAAGGTTTTACCTCAGAGGTGGTAACAGTGAAGCCACTCATTAACACTGAATTTACCACTTCGTTAGCAACGCAGCTTCCTGTAGAGAGCGACCAGCCCTGGATGTCAAATCCACTGAGCATGCATATTAAACTAAATCAGCTCTGGACAGAATAGTGTCATCTGCTATAAGATGTAGTATATACATGTTAAATTGTATGCTGATTATAATCCTTGTTGAAAATTCAAGCAGCAAGGTTTATCTAAATAAAAATGAAATAAAATAAACTAATTTATTGTTGCTTAAATTCAAGTATTCCTAAAAGAATTAGCAAACCCATCCATGTGTATGCGCAAAGGCATATGTTTTCTTTGTGTGGGTCTGTGTTTGTGTTTTAGACAGATTGTGTGCCTGCCAATTTGTCAGGATTCAAGTAACAACAGTCTCATGCTGGGATCTGTCTTGGCACCATCACAGAGTGATAAGACGCAATATGATCTCATTGGAGGTGTACTTTGTTCCCATGGAAATTGGTCAATTTTAGCACACGACTGAGAACTTTAGGTGGAGAAGCAGGAAGGTTGTATCCCAGAGGTACGCTCACATAATTAAGCATCCTCGCCAGGGTATTCAGGGCTAACAGCAGGGTTTGTTGTGAATAGAGGTGGCGAAAGAGGGTGTTGGAAAATCATAATGCGGCACACAATAATACCACTTTCATTTTATGGGGAATAGCCCCAAACATTTTTTTTAACAGCACCACATTATGTGCGTGCATTAAGAAAGAGAACCAGATTGTATTATACCTGTTGTGCAACAGTGTTTCTGTTTGTAATTTACATCTGCATTATTTCTTTCAGCAAATTTTCTTCAGATTGTTGAATACTGCGCTTGAATAAAGGGAATTATTATGCTCGTGAGACATTGCTTGCTTTACATGGCTTGATTAGAAATATAAAGAACATTTAATAATTTTGTGATATTCTTTATATTTCAGATAGTTTTGCTACTATGTCTGATCTGAATCTAAATGCACAAGAGGACAAAGCCGTGGAATCTGTGTCTGACAGCCCAGGTTGTACTCAGGAGCCATTACAGAGTCACACATTCTCCCAGAAGAACAATGCTGCAGGTCTGTCCTCAGATGAACACGAAAACCCTTTAAATGGAACCCAGCCGAATCCATTTGTATACAGCAGTGTCCCTGCTGTTCCCAATGCAGGCTATTCATTGCCTTCAGGAGCACTTGTTAATGGACCTGGTTCACACCCCACCTCAGAGGTACACTGTGTCCTGAACAAAGGCACTGTTTTATCCAACAATGTCCTGGATGCCGCGTGGCAAGCGGAGAAGGACACGAGCCCCGAGGTGTTACCACCACCTAGTGAGCTTCAATCAGACGCTTGGAAGAACACAGCGGGGCCCGTCGTAAAAACACTAGCCACACAGCCAGGTGTCAACACGCCACTGTCTCACTCGGAGGAGAATGAGTCTAAACTGGCCTATTCCACACTGTCAGGTGACAGTGCAGAGCAAATGCACATTAGCCAACCTTTAACAAAACAGACAATGAAAACAAGATCTCCACGGGAAGTAGAATGGTCACAAAGCTCCTTTCATGATTATGATGATGCTGAAGTAATCAGATGGGATCCAATAGGAGGGTGCTTGTTGCGCAATGACAGAAGGCTGGAGACCAAAGTGATGCACAAAAGAGACAAGAAGCACAATGCACATGTAAAAAGCATGTCAGGCTCTCAAGAAAAGGTTACCAACAGCTTCAATCACACATATGGAGGTTTCTGTTTCTGCAGTGGTAATGATGTTGACATCACCAACAAAGCTGATTCTTTGGGAACACAGTCTGATGTTAAACATTCTGTTGTGCCATTCAAAGATCTTTCTAGGAACACCGCTTCAGACTCTGAACCCCATTTTTATAGCACAGCACAGGAAGGCTGTAATGAGGAAAATGACCCTGAAGATGAAGACAATTTTAGACCAAAAGTGGAACAGTTGAAGACAGAACAAGTTGAACAAGATCCACTTTTCTTTTCATGCACAATATGCAATGTTAATTTCAAGGAAAAAAGACATTTCCATAGACATATGATGTATCATTTAGGCAAGCATAATCAGGTGAACAGTGAGAATGTTTCACAGCCCTTTATATGCAGGGAGTGTGGGCGTTTGTTCTGTGATAGCAACTCCCTCATGAGGCACATCATTATTCACCAAGACAGGCTGGAAAAACTTATGGAGGAAATCAAAGGTCTTAAAAACACTGAATTCGAAGACAGGGGCACCACAGTACAGTGCCCGCAGTGTGTATTTGGTTGTAACTGCCCTAAAGTCTTTGTCCAGCATGCCAAAACACATGATAATCTGAAGCACTACTACTTCTGTGAGGAGTGTAACTATGTTACACTGACACAACAGGCACTTGAGGCACACCTACATAGTGCACACCTCAACACACACCAGCCTCAATGCAGAAAAATTACTCATACTAACGATGCAGAGGAAGTGGACCATGTTAAGTTTCAGCGTAAAATAGTTTTTTTCTCTAGCAGAGACAAAGTTATATTGGAAAGACATTCTGAGCTGGAGCGTCAGCGATCACACTATGGTAATTCTAAAAAGGTTGCTGACCAGTCCAAAATTGCCGGGTCTAAACCAAGTCTGTCTAAGTTTATTTTTGGAGAAACAGCCGAATCCCCCCACTGTTCCAGTAAAACGGGGGACATATACGTTCAAAAGTCCAATGACAAAACAGCAAGTTCTCCTCAGTTTAAGTCATGCCATGTTGACTGCACCAAAAACATGCTCTCACCGTCTTTGTGGATGGTGGACAGGCATGGAAAATTACTCCCACAACCAGCAGAAAAATTAGACGTGGCAACTGATCTCACCTGTGTCGAAGGAGATGCTGAAAACAATGACTGCGAGGCTTTTGGCAGCTCAAAGCAGGCAAACTGTCCTGCAACCGCAGATTTTTTCCTATCAGCCAGAAATCCTAAATTAGACCAGATGTTCTGTCAGGGTAGCAAGAACGACCAGGCAAGCGGGAGTTTACAAGCACAAGCAATGAGAAAAATGTCAACACCCTTGCATAACTCTATTGACAGTATGAATGGTAATATATTGCCAAGGCTTAGCCAGAGGCTGAAGAAACAGTCTGCAGATAGGGAGTTAGAGAAAGGCTGTAAGGGCAGCAGCAACTTCAGTGATGACACCAGTGGAGCCACAGGCAGCTTCTTGGAAAGCAGCGAAAATGAAAGGAACCCGTATGCTCGGAGGTATTTCAGAAAGAGGCAGAGGTTTTCGGCCAAACACCAAAGCCCTCATGTACTCAGGGATGAAGATGATGGAGATGAAGACTGTAGTGACATAGAGCAACTCGTAATCAAGGAGGAGTATATCGAAACTACAGTGTGTGATGATTCCCCAGAGTCGCCTTGTACACCTTGTGACAGCCTTGATGTTTTCCCCGCACCAGGAGTAAAACACAAGCCCTGTCCGTACTGCCCTGCCATGTTTGAATCTGGAGTTGGTCTGTCCAATCATGTTCGAGGCCACCTTTACCGAGTTGGCTTGAGCTATAACGCTCGGCACATGGTTTCGCCAGAGCAGGTGGCGTTGAAGGACCATCAGCCACGAATCCGCAGGAGGATCCCCTGTGGCACGAGAAAAATGAAAAAAGGTATGAGTATAAGTTCAACTAATGTCATAGGCAATTAAGCACTAGCAACTCAACACAAAAGGTTTTTAATGAAGGAGATGTAAAAGGTAGCCTACTGTGTTTTAGCGTGATTTAGTATTCAGTTACAGAAGAAACCGCTTGATTCCAATTTCTGGAGGCTGGGGTATTGGATGGGTGTGTAGCACATCAAACAGGAACTGTGAGTTTGCAAACCTGTCAATAACCTGCAGTTCATTTTTTAGCCATGCTAGTAGTTCAGCTATAGGGATGGCAATGTCAGAAGGTCAGTCAGTCATTCCACTACTTTGGTCCAGACTGAAATATCTCAAAAACTGTTGGATGGATTGCAATTCTCTAAGTTTGTACAGACATTCATGGTCCCCAGAGATTAACGATTAATTTCAGGGTTCAACGTTTATGTTTTTTTAAATTGGCTAGTTGGGCAAGTGGGTTGAAATCTACTTGCCTGGAGTGCATTTTTACTTGCCCTTATACAAATTGAACAACAAAGACTGCGAAAACTAACCCTGTTTTATCTGCCTTGCTACTCAAACTAGCATCAAACTGCACAATACAGAGTTTTAGCCACAGTTTCAGTGTCAGTTTAGGGGTCCTCGTGAAAAAGTTTTAGAACCACTGCTCTAATGCCATCCGACTAAACTCCTGTTTCCATGATAATTCAAATGCTCGCTTGAGCCTCTATAGCATGGTATAAAGTGCTTCAGGGCGTGTTCAACTCCACTTCTGCTAGTTAAACGGCGCATAAACTGGTGCATTGCTATTTAAATAGCTGACGAATGGCACATTATAAAAAAACTAAATTTGATTAAGAAAAAGCATGGCGCTGGCTGCAGAGATGGTGAAGGGAGCTCATGTGGAGGAGCAAGAGAGAGGGAGTGTGCAATATGGAAAGAAGTGTTGACGTGAAAAACTTTCTTTCAGGAAGCCTTATGTTTCTCTACAGTTCTATGGTTTATCAGTGAAATGTATGAGCTACCCTGCAGACTGGAGTCTCTGTTAACAGTGACAGATAGACAGATCATCCTGAAATACGCTCATCTGCTCTATGATACGTCTGTATCCTCACTGCACTGCATTATTATAAACTATGATGAAAGTGATGTCACAGCAGATATCGTGGGACATTTCAGCAGCCAAACTAAAAACTGTAGTTAAAAAAACTTGACAGGACAGAGGAAACTCCAGACTAAACAGAATGCCACTTTTTGCTTCTGAAATACATAGTTGGACAGCTCTGATGGAGCTCAGGATTTATCTGGAGGACGGCCACTTTACTTCAAAGAGTTTCTCTGTGTAAACCTGGACTATGGGTGCGACCTTTTGGGTGTGTAGAATAATAATAATAATAATAAATTGAATTTGTATAGCGCTTTTCACGAACTCAAAGTCGCTTTACAGAGCAGAGAAAGAGAAGAACCAGAACATAAATTAACATCAGATCCTGACCAATCCTGTCCTGTTTTAATAAATCAAGGTATGCTGTGGTTGCAATCCATTCTTTGTTAATTCGCCCCTCAGTCTGTTGTTTGAGCAGGTAGTGTACAGTCAGTTTTTAGAGCTACGAGAGCAATGAGAATGAACCAAAATAGTAAAGTTGTGGGCTGGACAAATAAACGATGAGCTGAAACTTGCTATACAGCTCCGTAAAATCGAGGGGAGCAGCAGATTCTCTGTAGGTTGATTTTGTTATTGTAAAAATATTGATTATAACATTAAATGTACAGTGTACTGTATTTGATAAAGTTTATGAAGGCTTGTACATTATAAAACAATCCAAACAGTAGGCTGTACTATTATGAATATTAGCTTTGTGTTTTTGTACATTTATTTTAATTTTTATGACAAACCTTATTTGGTATTACAGCTGTTAAACCAGAAACCCAAGGAGAGCACGCATGCCCCCTGTGCTGGGGTTGGTTTGATACTAAGACTGGCCTTTCCAACCATGTGAGGGGACACCTGAAACGAATTGGTGGAAGTGTTACCAGCACCAGTAAGTCCCCGCTCTGCATCCTAAATGAACTGCTACAGGACAAAAAGGAACATCGGAACATCCTCCAGGTCCTCAACAAGAGCCAATTCCCCTCACGATCCTTTGTCTCTCCGAATTTAATCAGCAGCAATGGCCTGGTCCTGATGCGCACAGGCATCCCAGTGAAAATCCAGTACGAGATGAAGAGCCCACGTCCTATCTTGGACAGCTTTGTACCAAAACAGGAGGCAGAGGCCTTCTCAGAAAAGAAGAAGTTTCTGGTAGAGGCACAAAGAGGCACTAAGGCCTCCTCAAGCACTTTAGTTGAACTGCTCAAGATGAGACGGGAAAGTATGGAGCTTTCAGCGAGAAACAACCAGGAAGCCTATGCAACCAGGAAGCTCTGTGATTTAACCAAAGATTACATGGAGGAGACACAGATGACCAATGTGCAATCAAACTGGGCTCATGGTATGTAGCAATTTCATGTTTCTTAAAGGGTCGTATGGGTGGTTTTGCATGTTTTAGCCCATTAATAGTCCTGTACAATACATCCAAAGCAAATGGAAGTTTCAGGTCTCTGCAAGTTCATTTTCACAGGAGGGGGTATAGTAGAAAATAAATCTTGGATCCTACAACTGATTTGTAGATATTTGGCAAAACCACTTCTAAGACATATCATTTCAAGACACGCCCCTCACTCTTTAAAGTATTTTACTACTGAGTTGGATCATTTATGTGATCTTCTTGTACAAATGTGCCAAATTAGTTTTTTGCCCTGACTGCTCTATTGCAGCACATAAATTAGTTATTCTCGGCAAATAGACCCATATCCCCCAAATGATCAGTCCTCCCGTGGTGTAAATTTGATTGAAACATGTCCAGAATATGTTGGTTTTGGGACGTATGGATAACTATGACTTTGGATGACTGAGAATCTTCAAAAAGAAGGTTAAAATCAAGGGCAACTGGATTTGGTTGAAGATACTAGAAGACATTTCGTTCCTCATCCAAAGGACTTCTTCAGTTCTGACTGACTGGTAGAGAAACTCAGCTATTTAACCTCAGTGGGTACCGCTGGTTCATGTGTTCCTGGCTGCTGTAACAACAGTCGTTACAGTCGTTAGGACTACCTGAGGCCAAGACTGAACGACCATCGTTGGCATCCTCACCTGAGGCCAATAGGTTAGTTTGTTGAGTTTCCTGGGAAGTGATGAAAGGACCACATTGTAAGTGGGGGCAAAATTTCACAATATAAAAATATGTTTAGGTAGAATCAAGTTGGGGAGTATTTTAGCTTTGTTTGATAGCAGAGAAGTCCACTATTTATTGTGTAGATGCTAACAGTCAGCCCCCTGATTTTCATCAATATTCTATTACAAATTTTCAGTATGTTTTTACAAAGCCAGTTAAGCAATGTAAGAATAGTTCACAATCATTTGATTTGTGGAAAAAGCACATACAGTAGATTTAATTTTGCCAAAGTGCTTTTGAAGTTCATATAAAAAAATCATGAGATCCTCTTGATGTTTAGTTGGAAGCCGATCATCCGTGTTTACACAATTTCGTTTAATGTCTGTCCAAATCAAACTTTCATTCAGGTACTGCGAAAGATGTTGGTAAAGATTTCAAATCAAATTGCTCTTTGTTGAGTTCTATTTTAAATGGAACGATATGGTGCTTGCCTCTATTATTGTGTTACAGTGGCAACTGCTAGGTACTCCTAAAGATGACTTTCTGCTGTGTGTCCTGTCCTGAAAACTGATGTGTTTTGTAATTCATAGTATACCATTAGAGTGTTAATGAGTTGTAGTTCACACTGCACCATCACCTCACGTTCAAGACAACTCACAAATTAGTCGTTAAAAATGAACATCAATATTTATATTTTTTTCCCGTTAAGACATTTTTGTATTGTTGTGAAATTGTTCTTAGTTTTCTAAACTAAAATTAGATAAGTAAAATTAGGTTCTTTTTAAATTTTGAAATATTTTCTGGGAACTACTTAACCATTCCACTTCTGAATATTTATTAACAGGCAATGGTGGACAGCAGAGACATTGCCACTTTTCTGTCATATGACTAACTCTATCTAAGATCTATGATTTTATGTGTAGTTTATGAATCCTCTGTGACTCTCATGAGGTGGTGTCTGTGAAAATAGCCCCCCTGAAGACACAAGATTGTGTTAAACTTCACCAGTAACACTTTTCAAACAGGAGAGTGCAAATCAGATGCTTAGAATGAAAACGGGTGGAAGAAGACACAGAGCACGGTGGGAGTAACAGTTTTGCCTGATAATAAAATTATGCTTTTCTCCTTAAATACTACAGTATCTAACTTCTGATGATCCTAAACCTTGATTTTAGACATAAGTATCATCTAAACTGTATTAAAATGAACATCGTCCAATCAAATTTTGCATTAAAGCTTTAATGGAAAATATAATCCCATAATTTCAACCTAAACGTTTTGATCTATTTGCCTTATTAACTTTGAGCTTCATTTCGTTTTTCAATGTATTATCTTTCAGGGGAATGTGATTCGAATAAGATTTGTATTCAGTGTAACAGCACCTTTCCCAGGCTTCCCGGTCATCTTCAAGCCTATACACACAGGAAGAGGATTGCCATTTTTGAAGGACCAGGTACGTTTGTTACAATATACTATTGCAAAATGTTGCAATGTTTCCTGCGCCATGCAATCAAAATTGTTGCTTAAGCATAAGAATCATGTGTCTGTGTGGAACCAAATTAAAAAGAAACTGAATATATGGTCGACATTAGATGAATTAGTCACCTGTCACATGTCTTATTTCATACAAAAATGGTTGCTGACTAGAATAGTCGATATCAATAGTGAAAAATAGTTTGGCTTTGGGATTATGTATTTATACCTCTTGCCAGTGATAACTTAATACATCCCTTTAGATAAAGCAGTGCAGTGTTTTGTCTTTTTAGGCTATGGTTATAAACAGAAGAAGCCAAGACCAAGGCCTGGGTTAAAAAAGAAGATTTTACCATCCTTGAATGCTGAGATATACACACTCACCTGCAGGTACATAAAATGGAAGGTTACATAAGTAACTATTCTCTTAGCAAAGAGTGAGTTGAAAGCGCTCTCTACCCAGTTACATATTTATTATCTGTAGGCCCTAAATGAAGAGATGAAAAGATGCATAAGCCAGAACACCAGTCAAAACTCTGACCATTTGTCATTCCTTATCTGGAACCGCCCACAAATTTTTACGAGTAGCTACCGCTGGGCAATTCACAGGCCATGCTCACAGCAGCCTGTTCTCTAAGTTATTTTATAATCCAGATTCCCTTATGTTTTGGGGCAGTCTAAAGAGGTAGTCTATATTCTTTTGCATCTATGTTTCCACATCTGAAGGGGCTGCAGAAATGAGACTGGCTGTCCCTCTATCCCCACATCTAACTGTGAGGGGCATATGCCCAACTCACTGTGGGGCCCACCTCAAAGGCCTCAGGTACTGTTTTTCCATTGCCAGTACCAGCTCAGCTCAACTCACCTCGCCTCGACTCGTAATTTAAAATTTTCAATGCGACACACACACCAGCGACCCACACACAGCTGTCTCTTGATTTAAGTTAAAACGTTTCATCATTCCTCAGAATGTGAAGACAGAGAAGCGGTATGAAAAACCTTACAGCTGTGTTTTCCTCTGCCATTGTTGCTGCAGCGCTCTGTGTGACAGTGGGACCAGAGGGCTCTGTGAGCGGGCGGCTTCCTCCGGTGCCACTTGCAGAGTTCCTCAACTCCTCAAACTTTCAAGCGCATTTTTGTTCTGCCATCACTTTTCATAAATCTGTCAATATTTGAATATACACAGTTGATTTCTCACCTCAAAACTTCTCAGAAGTGGATTTAGTGATGAAGCGCGTGCAATGATGGTGCAATGAATAGTGACGATTCTGTCTGACAAATCAGTAGTCTGCTGTGTTTTCACATCACATTTTGTATCGCTCAGCTCGCTTGGAAACGAAAAAAAGTACCTGGTAGCATGTATAACTTTTCCACAATGAAAACCAAATAAAGGCAAGTAGAGGCGAGTCGAGGCAGGTTGAGCTGGTACTGTGCAGTGGAAAAGGGGCTTTAGAGAAGGGAGACTACTGAATCAGCTTAACAGTGAGAAGGGAGGGATACTGTCAACACACAGTGTAGACAGTGGACCACAGCTTCCCTTCTTTAAGTTTAATTAAGGGGGCCATACCAGTGTTGTATGATCCACTTGCCAGAGTAATCCATTAGCCCACCAACTTTTACAGAAGCCCCACTAGCGACCTCTTCAGGAGAGAATCAGCTCTCTTAAGCTGGGCATACACTGTACGGTTTTAGAAGTCTTGTTGTTGAATTCCAACTCACACTGTACGAGTAAATCTTCTGCAGTGTAAAGCCAAAAGCTCAAGGTTTACGTCACACTGTACAGTCGGATGGTCAGCCACGACCTGAGTGCTTACACTGTACGTGCATAAAACCAAATTCGAAAGATACAAGGTAGGTAGAAATTTGTTTGCTAAGCAATGCTGCTAACAAGCAGCAAACATGCTGCCTTGATCATCGGTGTCATCCTGTGTTCCAACCTTCTAAAACAGGAGGCGCTGGTGTAAATGGCATACATGTTACTTTATAGCTAGCGACGTGTCGCCATGGCACTTTCAGACACCGTTCACCACTTCACACAGGCGCTGTGAGGAACAAAGGCACCGATCGCAGGGAATTTACTTGTGGCTCTACTTCAGCCGTGCGACAGCCTGACAACGGCCGATCAAAATTTCTGACATGTTAGAAATTCATCCGACTGTCCAGCAGCCGTAAGTGAGCAGTTGATTGGTGCTTCGTCGAATCGACGGCGTAGCCTCTGTGTAGCCCCGTACCATACGCCAAGCCTGACAAGCACCTCCTCAAAAATGTAACTACACGTTGGGGCGACGCAGACCATAAGAACTGTGATTGGTCGGCTGGGTAGCTCAGCAACGCCTCCAAGCTGACTGGAAGTGCCCCGTGCTTTTGAAGTAAATTCTACTAGCGGCTAAACCAACGGCTTTAACAAACTGGATCCATATATTTGAGCGTCACAACCCAAGCGAAATGACTCGTTTCACTATCAGAATGTGATCCATTTGGTCGATAACATTTGAAAAATCTATAACAGCCAGTATCTATAACAGTATATAAATTTACCCCCATTCAAGTTAGCGGATTGCTACAGTGGATGCTGTAGCGCTACCACCAACAAGCGTTTGGCGGTGTAATTGCTGAACGACGGAGACACCGACACACAAGTATATATCCATGCAGGGACGTGCACAGGGGGGTTGCTCTGGTTGCCCGGGCAACTGCCCGTTTGCCTTTCCTGACTCAAGTTGCCCTTCCGACTCGCCCTTCCGAGAAAAAAAAATAAAATAAAAAAATAATCGCGATCGCAAAGCCTCATTCACTTCCATTCGGGCACCGAAAGTGAAAGTCAGTAGGGGAAGGGCAAACTCTGTTTAAGTGGCTGCACTGCTGCAGCGCTGCCTGCACGTCAGTCGATTCTGTTCCCTACCGGAATTCCTGTTTCCTTCCTTTATGCAATCATACTACAACAAATCATGCGTAGTTTTGCCCAGTTACCATACGTGATACGTACCAACAGAAGTGAATACGAGCTAGAAGCGCAACTGAATGTACGGGAAGCCAAAAGGTTAAAAAAGGATTGTATTTTTTTCCGAAATCTAAGCGTTTTTTTATTTAATATTTTATTAGAAGCGAGTTTTCCCCATCTGTCAATTCAATCTAGATTATTTATTTTCAAATAAAAAAAAAAAGGAAAAAAAATAAAAATAATAATGATTAAAAAAACAATAAACAATAATATAAGGAACTCTTTTTCTCATATGTATTTTGGTGACATTTATATTGTTAATACATTTTGGATACTGTGTTTAGTGCCTTTTTTCAGGTCAGAGCAACTGCCCTTCAAAATTCCTGTGCACGTCCCTGTATCCATGGCTACCCGATGCAGAAGTAGTAATCACGCTTTACAGTGTATTCCCAGCTTTATACTGATAAATTCTAAAGGCTGTAACCTCCCACAAACATCTCTCACAACACACATTTGAACTCCTTGCACTTGTGGTATATGTGGCTGCACACATCACCTCTCACCCCCCCCCTCCACCCCCAATCCATGTACATATGAAATATCTAATTGGGTGCTAAAGAAATGTGTTTACAATCAGTAGAATAAAACAAAATATACAATAAAGCACAGCTTACATTTCACAGCGGAAGAAGGTGGTTGTGCTTTAACTCGAGAAACAGTGACTTACTTTTGCTTCTATTTCTGCAGATTCTGTGACTTAGTCTTCCAGGGTCCCCTGTCTGTCCAGGAGGATTGGATCAAGCATTTACAGAGGCACCTTCTGCACACCAGCGTGCCCCACTCAGGGACAGGGATGGTAGAGGTTTTGGGTCTTCATCACAAAATACAAATGAACATGTCTTGTGAGCACCCAGACCTTGAGTAGAGTTTGGCCTGTCTAGAACTTCCAGTTGCGTGAATTTGCACACTATAATCAATACATTATTTTAGATTAGTCCTGCAGCTCTTTATACGAATATGTATAATAGGTAATCCACACTACTTAATAGTTTACATTAATAATACTGTATATATAAGCAAAAACTGTATTGTAGGACATTTTAATGGTATGCTTTGCCTTATCAACTTAGATAATACAACTTATAGGGTGTATCTTTATTGAATGCTATATAAGTTAGACATAACGGTGGCAAAACCACAGTGGCAGTATGAGCAAGGAACAGGATAACATATTTCTTCAGTACACGTTGGTCTGGCAGTGCAGAACTGCCATTGTAAGAATAACATTGTTCTCCTGTGTTTCTCATGATAAAAAAGTGCCTTGTTATTATGACAAAGCATTTTGTTATTATGAGAAAAATGTTTTCAATATAAAATGAAAAAAATAAACAGAAAACTTCCTCATTATAAAAGGAAAAGTTAAAAGGAGCCACCTACATTAGCCTAAGCATTTCATTTAAGTTCATGTCTCACTTTCTTTTCGAGCCAACATAAAATAAAATTGTGCTTGTTAAGCAGTGTACACGGGGCTGTCATTAGTTTGTGGGTGCTTTGAAGGGTTTCACCTCTTTGTGCCTGTATCAGGGAAAGAATCTCTCCTAATCAAAGTGACATTCAAGATGTGACATTCAAGATGTTGCATTATGTTTAGAGAGCTTGTTCTGCCGTTGTTCTTCTGCTTAACCTTCAACCGTCATCTCATTATAACTGTTATAACAACATCTTTTTATAATGAGAAAACTCTAGTTATAACATGAAACCTTTCCAGTTAGAACAACATATTGTTAGAATTCTTTTTTCTCATTTTGGTGACTCTGTAGCCTATTTTTGATGGGTTGCTTTTTGGTTCTTTAAAGGTTCATAATGAACAGTATGTAGACCACTAGTACTGAGCATTTGCATGCCCATAACCTATACTCCAAATGTATTCCAACTTGGTGCTTATTTTGCAGAGTGGCAGAGAAAGTTCCATACTTTCAGACAAGAAAACAGGATCTGCAAAGGGCAAAGATGACATATCATTTTGTAGCGATGGTTGAATTTCATTGAAATTTTTTCAGGGTCTATCACTGGAAGAAAGCACTTTGTCTTTTGCCCAGGACATTTCTTTTTGTTGTTTTTTTTTTTTTGTTCTGTGTGCACATCATACACAGCTACAGTTTGTCCTTCTTTGATCCTCTTCTTAGCACCTACAGTATGTGGTCAAGTCTTGTTGAACCCGTTGCCAAAAGTCTCACACTTGAATTATTTTTAAGTTAAATATTAGAAAGAAAAACTTTCCTATATACTGTAGCATCTGCATTGAATGAATATGAATGTGTACATATTGCTTTCAGTGATACCTGTCCCTTGATGACTATACACCTGAATATACCTTTATGACTATCAAAGAAATATTTAGCTTTAATGACCAATGCCATTTTAGGTATTTTATCTATGTATTTATCTATTTTTGTCTTGAAATATTGAACTTGTTGCACTGACATTTTAAAATTGTAGACAGGTAGCACTTCCTAACAGTTGTATTATTACAAGTAACTGACAAACATTTCTATAAAATAATCTTATTTCCCTACTCAGGCTTGATAGTTTTTAGACTTAGTATTGCTCAGATTACAGAATACAGCTTTTTGTAGGTAAATGTTTGTATAGAAATCAGTGACATTAATAATAAACTTGCATGATAAGAGTGTCACTAAATCTAAATACATTTAGTGAATTATTATTAATCAGCCAAATTTAGTAGATTTATCAGCAATGCTGTGTTAAATTATATTAGCAATAGGATGTAGATATTGGGGAAAAAGTAACCTTCACACTACACTTTTGCCCCATACGGAGGATATACAGTATAGGATTGAGAGCTGCATCTGACTGGTTGGTAATTTACTGCAGTTTTTGTGGAGTGGTCAAAAGGTTTGACTCGCATGGTTAATTGATCAAGCTGTCTGAGATATGGTAGAACAAAAGACTTAATTTGCAAAATAATGGTGTTTATAGAGCCAAATGTCTGTGGATATTCATGGTCAGGTGGAAAAAGTACTACGGTGAAGTGATAATTAAGGCACGGTCATGCTGATCAGGATAAGAAAATGGACAGAATTTCTGAGCTTCAGATTTTTATTCATTAGGCTGTTTTGGAATGTCAATTATGGAGAACCAACCAGAAACACAGGGAGGAAAAATCTACAATAATTCCACTGCATGACCACAGTGTTTATCTATTTTATGTTTACTTCTGATATATCTGTATTAAAATAATTAATCATATTTTTATGTCAATAAATTCGCATTTACAGTCAACAGTACTGACTCAACCTGAGTTTAAACACAGACATGACTTTGCCGATGTTGCTCCAAACTTTCTGTGACTGTCAGGTCTGCCAGGGGGAAAATCTGATGCACAGGAAGTGATATATTTTATGATTTGGGCAGCAGAAACACCAGTTTTTCTGTTTGCGTAGGATTGACCGGTGCCTTAAGAAACCTTAGCTTCAAAATCATTATCACCATGAAGTAAAAAAATGGTGAGTACTGGTGGCACTATTTGAGTAACATGAGCTGTGCGAGGTACGCTGCAGCAGTGATATGACAAAAGAACTTGGCGTAATTAAAAAGGATGGATTCCTGATAGAAGATCACTTAAGTTTGTCTCGTGTTTTTTCATGTACTCTATTACCCTCTGTGCGTACTTCACTATAAACAGTTGTGATGATGGCCCTGTAAGTTGTAGAAGAAAAAAACTTGGGAAAATTTCATATAATGTTTTGGGTAAGTGCAACGTATCACTTTAAGTGAAAGTTTTTTTTTAAATAAAATTGTGTTCCTACTTTCATTTACAGAGTGCAGACACAACTTCTAGCAGCAGCTGGAGCTGACCCTTTCAGTTGTTTAAAGGTGTGTTATGTGATGATGGACCATTCCCTATCCACAGTACACAGGCCAGTTTTATTTGTTGCAATTCTTTTGGGTGAAACATACAGATTTAAGTGTGACTTTGCACCATTATTCCCAACAGGAAGTAATTTTAGGGCTATGTGCTATTTTAAACTCCGGTTTTTAGCGTTACAGGCTGAGTATTTGATGTACCCCATACAAGATAGCCACTTCTGGGTTTTCTACTTACCAGTGGCAAAGGGGGCTAACCCTGCAGTTTATCTTGGGCAGTATTTAAAGCAGCGATCAAAGCTGTACAAACCAATTGTCATCATGCTTCTCCGGAGGGAATTTTGAAGTACTTTAATGCTCCTTCTTTGGGAAATAATTGTGCCACTCTGTGACTTCATTAGGTCTCCTGGCTGTTTCAAAAGATGTTCTCTCTGGAGGTTGAAAGCCACATCGCTGGCAGACAGCATCCCAAGGGGCCGAATGAATAAAAAAGGAGAGATTATAATGAGATTGAGTTAGCCATGACCAGAATTGGGCTTTTCATTATTCCACTGGCTGAAGAGAGAGAGAGGGACAAGGCTGACATAAAGAAATGTGTTGTTGCAGGACCCACACTCGCCATCTGCCATGGGGGTCCAATGGTAGGCAGCCAATGCGGGCTTATCATTGCCATGGGTATCAAAGGGGCCTCCTCTCTGGAGATTGCTCCATTAAATCTGCTAACGCCAACCCCTGTATGCACAAAACAGAGACAACCTGCATTTTATTCAGAAGTAACACTTGCCATTGACTTAGCCAATTAAAAAGGGAGGAAGCATTAGACAACCTTTGTGTTTTTGGGATCCGTGTTTATTAGACAAATGAATCTTAAGTTATTTCATTTGAGTAGTCATTTGAGTTTTTATGATGCGTGTTGCTGAGAACATGCATTAGGACTTTTTTGTCAGCTAGCCTTGTGTTTTTTTCCCCATTCAGTGTCTGTGGCAGCTGTGATCCAGAGATCAGGACCATTGATCATGACCTGTCCTTTGGCCAGTTATTCAGGAGTGTCACAGACTGCCTGTGTGAAAAAGAAAAAAAAAAAGAAAAAAAAAGAAGAAAAATCAATAGGTTTCCATTATATGGTTGGGCAGTGTCATTGGCCTGTCAATGATCCTGTTACAGCGGTGGTACAAGGGTGACACAGGCCCACACTCAGTCGCTGCTGACAAGAGGAAAACATGCTGACAGGCACCGGGAACAAGTTGGAACACAGATTTGCACTTCAAGCAGCCGTCCAAGGAGGTATCGTGCAGGGCCACCACACGGCAAGGGGCAAGCTCAGTTGGGGCTGGGTGGAGGGGTCGGGGGGAGGGGGGGGGGGGGGATTCTCAACCAGCCTCCCTCTAGTGTCTGACTGTCTAGCTCTCAACCACAAACGCTTTTATCCTCCCATAAATTATTCACCTCTGGATACACCAAAGGAAACTCTGTTGCACTGATTGTGGCTGAAGGGAAATTCATAAAAACCTTAGGCACAGTTGGCATCCACTGCTCGGCCACTCCTGCAAACTTATGCAAACCCCACCTACAGCTTGCTATTTGCAGCATGTGCATTGCACTATACATATACCATCACTATTCACTGACCCTTTCTTTTGCAGATTCTTTAGCAGATTTCCATGCAGGAAGTGTTTGCCACATCTCAATTTTATGGGTAATTATCTATTTCATAGTTATTAACTGACTTATTAGGCCGCTGACATATTAGCTCTTAACCTACAAAGAAAACAAGAGTCTGCCCTCATCAGTCAGTCCAGATGGCCAGTCAGAAATTAAGAAAGACATCAACTGTCTCTTGAAAGAACATGAATCAATATATTTTGACAAGGATCAAATGTGCTTCAGATGAACCTTTTGGCCCTCCCAAAACAGTCTTTCTCCTCATGTCAAACCTCCTTATTTTTGTTTTTCTACATGCAATGATATGATATCTCATGACTCATGATTTTTTTAGATCACTTTTAGCAACATGATTTAATAGTTATGACACTGGTAACTCCTGTCTGACAATATCTTTATTTTACATTTGACGTTTTACCATGAAAAGAAATAGAAATATAACAGTAACAAACAAATACATTTCAACATGCATGTCTGCAGCATAATGTTTTTTTTCAAGCTTTTATTATCTAAACCAGGCCTTGGGACATTATATGAGGTCACGCTTGTTAACAATCTTATTCTTTTTATTTTTCAATTACACATACTAATTTATTTTTCTTATGTAGGCAATTCAGTATATAATGACTGGGGAATTCAGGTTAATATGTTGACATGGTTTAACAACAGCGGGTCATGTTGCACAACACGCATGGCTGCCTCCGTTCACTCCAGCAGCTGACAGGTCCTAATCATGCGCTGCCCTAAAGGCACTGGGGCAGAGAGGCTTTTAATCACTGAATTATAGACCAGCGCGAGGCTTCAAATTGAGACGTAATTAAACTCAAAGTTGCAATAATTGTTTCAGCTAATTGGGCAGGCAACTGCGTCATGGTGCGACTGCATTATCTGCTGTAATTACCTGAGTCAGGGGATTTTTATTTTTTTTTTTCTGGGAGAAGAAGGGTGCTGTGTGTTTTTAAAAATGGCAAAGGTGTTCGTGGTGCGTTATGATTCAAATAAAACAATATGATGGCAGAGCTGATGGGTGCGTTTTATTTCTGCCTATTTTATGCCAAAAATGCACAATATATATATATACACACAAAAAACAAACGTTCAATATTTACACTTTCTAAATAACGTTACCCTTAATTTTCCCTCTGCCTATTAATTCAGTCCACCGCGCACTGTAGCTAAACGGGCTCTGAGCGTCTTCGTCAGCATCAGTGTGTGTTTACAGTAAGGAGATTAATAATGCAGCCAACAATATGCCCAGTCTTGACGTCCTCGGTAGCGATGCCGCACCTTCGGCATCATTATTTCCTATTAATTACTCGCCAGCCAAATGCCTTTAGAAACGGAGCTGCAGTAGGTGTGAGGGGGAAACTGGTCAGGGAGCAGCTGCCCTGCATCCCGCCGGGCTCAGGCTGACCTCCTTTTTATTTTTTACATCACTAAACTGGAGGCTTGACAAGCTGTATACGAGTATACGAGCACAGGGGCTTTTGATTTGGATATGGGGAGAAATGTAGAATATGAGCCAGAAATGACGAGTCAGGCAGGATTTCGGGTATAGCCAAAGAATAAATTGACGAAGAGGGGGGGAAATCCAGATCTTAACGTCTATGTTTTTGGCCTAAGTGTCTGTAGTGATCCATCATATTACACAGGAACTGCTGAAACCCCTGCCCCCTTTAATGCGGACTTCCATCCACACCGAATCAGTCATATTCTGTCCATTTTTGCACCACATCCCATCATTTAAAAAAAAAATATTGTGGGTGTGTTTTTAATCCCGCGATCATTCACACATAAAGCGGTTATTTGCGGTTGTGATTGTATCCAGTAATCACTTAGAGGGGTGTGAAACGGCTCTATGGGATTGAAAACTGTCCGGTAACCACAGGGCCCATGTGCTGCATGTGCTGTTGCCACTGTGCTGTTTGACTGTCGGACGGTAGGGGGCGCTGCTCATTTCGTTCTGAGAGCCAGAAGGAGAAACGCATCATGGGTTTCACCAAGTGGTTACACTGAAATTGATAACAAACAATAATAATGAAATAAATGAAACAAATAAATAAAATAATAGCAGGAAATTAAGATTTTAAGTAGCTATTACCACTGTAAAATGTTATATTTGTTAGGTTTTTTTTTAACCTTTTCCAAGCTGTGTGAGCCATTCCTCCTCAGTTAGGCTAATTGTAATATTTTTCTAGACAATATTCCTGGAATGTTCTCTCACTTCACAGAGCCTCCGCAGCTTGGATGGATTTCCCCTCTTTAACGGGGTGAAGGACAGTCTACTCCGAGCTCTGCTGCAGCAAGCGGACTTCCAGACCTCCTTCAATGCTCCTTTTTGCAGGTGACTCCTCTCCATTTTTATTAACCTGCTGTGGCTACTGAAAGCTCACATCACCGCCTAGCTCTCAGGACGCACAAGTCTGCAGGAGTTGCATAGATAGTCTCAACATCACATCAGTAATCAAACAGATCCCAGAACAAAAAAAAAGAAAAAAAAAAAAATCTTCTTTGCCTTTGTCGCTTTTGAGGGAGAAATTTAATTACAACCGCGGGTGTATGCAGGCATAGAAAAAAAATACCAGGCGACAAATGAATATACAGAGCAAATGACAAAACATGAGGGGGAATAACTGACAGATGAAAAGACAGAGGATGTGCAGCTAACAGGCAAAACGCGCCGGTACAAAGCCGCGCACACCTTTGAGAGCAAGAGTTTGTTTTATTGCACTTCTCCCGGGTTGCATCTCCTGTC